TTTTAATATAAAAAAGTTCATACAGTACAATTTAGATTATTATATAAGGGCTGTACTGTATTGTACGAATTTTATAGATATTGTATGATTTTTGTACAAAATTTATGTAAAATTGTACAGTACAAAATAGTTTTTCGTACCGTACAGTTTATCGTCATACTAACAGAAATCAGATAGACTACTATCCCGATATAGGTCAGTTCGAGTATGGTCTGATGACAAAAGTTGGTCACCATCGTCATGTGGTCAGATGACAAAAGTTGATCACCATCGTCATGTGGTCTGACAACAAAAGTTGGTTACCATTGTCATATGAGGTGAAAATAACTTATACTAAGTGGAAATAACATAATTATATTATTTCTACTAATGACAGTAGTCAATTTTTGTTATTAAACCACATGTAATATAATATATGCCAGTTTAGTAATTATAATTGATTTCCAGCATTAGACCACATATTCTACAATTATGTTACTGGTAAAATAGTGAAATGTTAGTGGACAATTAATCAATTATCAAAATCGTAATCAATCATTTAAATTTTAGTGTAAATCTATTTGTCACCAGTAGTAATTGTCACCACCGGGCAAAATTACATAATTCTCTGTTAATTTTGCCTAACGGTAACTATCATTGGCGTGACAAATATACTTTTTTTAAATTCCTCCTATTACCTGTGCTAGTCACCAGATTTTTGTCACATCCTTTTAATCACCGGTTAATCACATGGATCAATAAATTTAACGAATTCAAGGGGTGAGATACTGGGGTAGCTGATGACCATTCCGTCAATCCGACGGATCGTTGATAAATAGAATTTTTGTTTACTAGATATATCATTCACCCTTGCATCACTTTACTCTCTCTTTTTACCCTCCATTCATTAAAATCAATTAAACATTTAAAAAAAGAAAATCAAATATGCCTCGTGATAATTCTACTAAACGTCCACGTAGGATCGTTCAACAAAAACTCACGGAAATTCTAAACACTTCAAAAAGAGACGATTCTCAACCATTTAAGAAGAAGGTTAAAACAAGAATTGAGAATAATAATAACAATAATAATAATAATGATGAAGCTATAAGTTCAACAAGTGTTGCCCAGGAGAGAAAACTCAACTACGAAAAAAAACATAATAAACAAATTAAAAAACAACGAAACCAAGTAGATCAAATATTTTCGGATGAATCCGATGAAGAAGAAATTGACGATGAATTGGATAGTGAATTAGAATTAGAAAAATTGGAAATTGATGAACTCGAAGATGATTTAGAAACTCATGAAAAGCCTGAAGAAGAAGTAATAGAAAGTGGAGCTCGGTCTATATTGAGTAAGTTTGATGCTTATCGTTTGTTATATTTATTATTATAGTTATTATTATATATTATTGACACATGACTTCATTTAAATTGAATATAAATTTAAAGCTTTTCATGAAGAAGATTTAACGCCAATTGATAAAATGCTTCGTTCATTTGATTTGAATTATAAATATGGTCCATGCGTTGGAGTTAAAAGATTAGATCGTTGGGAAAGAGCTTATCGATTAGGAATGAATCCACCAATTGATGTTAAAGTTGCTATTATAAATAGTAATGATCAATTGATTAATGAAAGTATTTTTCATGGTCGCCTATAAAGAAAGTTCTTTAATAAATCGAATAAAAGATTTATAAAGATTATCAAAATCTATTAAATTTTATTTATAATGAAAGATTTGCAGTATTTGTGATGTTAATGAAATAATAATAACATAAAAAATGACAATTTATTTGCAATCTATCTATCTAATATTACATTATAATAATATTCTTTACAACATTTATTAAACCGACATTTTCATTTTTATTGCACCGTAAGGATTATATTCCTTAATATTAAAATCTTCGTATTTGAAATCATCTATGTTTGTTATTTCACGTTTAAATTCTAAACTAGGAAATTCTCGGGGAACTCGTTCGATTTGAATTTGAAGTGCATTGATATGATCTTTGTATATATGTGCATCTCCCATAGTATGAATTAATTCTCCTGGTAAAAGACCTGTAACATGAGCAATCATTCTTGTCAAAAACGCGTAACTCGAGATATTGAATGGTACTCCTAGACCCATATCACAAGAACGTTGATAAAGAAGACATGATAAAGATCTTTTGGAAGGTTCACTTTTTATATTAGACACATAAAATTGACAAAACATATGACATGGAGGAAGTGCCATTTTCTTTAAATCTTTTTGAATTAAATAGAAAAAAAATTATATAATTAAACAAAATTAAAATATAATTAAACGTAAATAAAAAAAAAAAAAAATAATTAAATATAAAATTAAAATATAAAATTAAAATATATAATTAATGTTACCAGCAGGGTTCCAGGCACTTAAAATTATTCGTCTATCATTTGGACTATATTTGATTTTATCGATAACTTCTTGAAGTTGATCAACGCCTTGAAAAGAATAATCAGCATCACAATCAACATATTCTGCTCCAAAATGACGCCACTGAAATCCATAAACTGGTCCTAAATCTCCTTGCTTTCTATGATTCAAACCAATTTTATCTAAATATTCGCGTGAACCGTTACCATCCCAAATTTTAATATTTCTTTCGGTTAAATGGTTACTATTTGTATCTCCTTTAATAAACCAAAGCAATTCTTCTATTACTGCCCGTGTAAAAACACGTTTGGTAGTTAAAAGTGGAATAACATTGTTACGAAGTGAAAAGCGTAGTTGTGGTGGAGCAAAAACAGAAATTGTTCCAGTGCCGGTTCGATCCTCACGGTGTTCTCCAAATTCCATAATATAACGAATGAGATTTAAATATTGATATTCTTCATGTTTATTTGAAGTTTGTAATAGTGGAGATCGATATATAGTGGGGACTTTTTCCCATTCTTTACTTTGAACCTTCTTTGCTTTTTCGGTGTTTTCCAAAGGTGAAGAACTGTAATCCTCGCTTTTCACCATATTTATCAAATAATAAATAAGAAAAATAAAAGAAATAAAGAAGAAAGAGAAGTTAAGGAAAAAAATAAATAAGAACCATAAATAAATACGTTTTTTTTTGTTATTATTACGATTCACGCATTGTTTACAATTTTTTATTTTTATTTTTTTTAACGAAATCTTGTTTATTACACGAATTCTTTTATTTAAAGATTATCAAATACTAGATATAGATACAGATATAGATACAGATATAAGGTACAAATGATCGATTTTATACTTGTATCTATATCTGTACATTTAAAACAATTCCCCTTATTGATATCGTCAGTTTCTTGATCTAAAATTTTATTCGCATTTGAAAATGGTATATATTAATTTTTTTTTATATAACCGAGAAAATTAATTTATTCGCTGATTATTATTATTATTTTTTATTAATTTTTTTATTATTAAAAAGGCTGCCCAAAGTTCCCATGGAATTCAAACTTTATTAGAGGCCGAAAAGGAAGCCTCAAAAATTGTTTCAAAAGCCAGAAATTGTATGTTAAAATAACAATTATAATATGATATTAATGATTAATAATGATATTAACGAGATTAAATAATAATCATTAGAAATAGAGTTGCCTGCCGTAATTGTTTTAACAAAAGTTGTAATAAGTTTGGAATCAATATTACGGCAGGCAGGCAACTCTATTTAGAAGTTATAATGAACTGATAATTTTATAATAATAATAATAATAATAATGATAATAATTAATTTGGTAATGTTAAATAGTTCGAGTTCAACGTTTGAAAGAAGCTAGAACTGAAGCAGCAAAAGAAATTGAAATTTTAAAAGCTCAGAAAAAAGAAGAATTTGAGTTATTCGAAGCGGAGGTGACACAATATTATTCATTATTATTATTATTATTATTATTATTTAAACATAAATATTATATTATTATTAATTAATATTACAATATTTTAATATTTCAATATTTTTTAGCATAAGGAATCATCGGATTTAGATAAAGTAAAAGCAGATACTGAAGCAATAATTGTTACTATTAATGAAGCATTTGTAGAAAATAAATCTAAAGTTACAGATAGATTATTATCAGTTGTAACAAATGTTCAACCCACGATTCATAAAAATTTTAAAAGATCCTGAATTTTATTTCTTTATTTTTTAGTAAATTATAATATTAATTTATTTTATTTGATTTATTTCATTTTATTTATTATTATTTATTTATGATTATTTATTTTGTTTGTTTGTTTGTTTGAAAAATTATTATGAAAAGAAAAATATTGCATTTTATCAATTAAAGTATTTCAAAAATAATAATTCAATTCATTAATATTTTAATAATTACAAGGAATAAAATAATTAATAATTTTACAAGAGAAAAAGGTATAAGTTGTTGTCAGGATAAATTAAAATGTCATCATTCGATAGAATTATTTAAATTCCGATAGGTATACTAATATAGTCTATTCTATTTATTCTTTAGTTCTGAAATAATTTAATTGTAAAATTTATTAAGTTTTTTCATGTTAAACTTAATGAATTGTTATTTTGAAAATTAAATTAGAGTAAAATGCGCTTATTAAAAATAGTTAGAATTGGAACTGTAACGTGATATTAAGTTGACCGTTTTTCATAGGCAAAGAATTGCACTACAAATAACCCATTTTAGTGAAATAAGAATTGACGAATTTGACGAATTGGTATAATACACGATTTTGGGAAAGTTATATTAAATTTTCTTAAAGAGGTATTTTTTTGATCATCATGACCAATTAAATACAGAGAAATCATTAGTTTAACTGACTTCATTAGTTTTTTATTTGTGGCATTAACATGGCCACTATGAAATTTGTTGTCTTATGTATATTATGGTATGCTTCTTCAGCTGTTACTAACAACATTGGCAAGCAACTTTTAAATCAATTCAACTATCCAGTTACATTAACTTGGGTTCAATTCGGTTTTGTTGGATTATATTGTCTTACTATTGGACATGGATTGGGTTATACGAAACTTCGAAATCCTTCAAAAATTATTCTGCGCACTACCTTACCCTTAAGTTTATTTTCCATCAGTGGGCATGTACTTTCCAGTGTGGCGACAAGTATAGTTCCAGTTAGTTTTGTACATACAGTCAAGGTATTTTATTTATAGTTTTTATTAATAATTTTTAATAAATTATCCTTTTTTTATATTTTCCAAATATTACTCTTTAAATCTTTCTTTTTTAACATTTAAATTTCATTTAATATTCTTTCATCCATTAATTAACATTCATTTTTCTTTGACATTCATTCTTTTTTTTTTTTTTTTTATTCGATCTTATAATATTCATTCATTGTAAAAAGGCACTTTCACCTTTATTTACAGTCTTTTTTTATAGATTTGGATTCAACGTTAATTATTCATATCCCGTATATATATCTTTATTTCCACTTACTATTGGAGTTATGCTTGCTTGTTCATCTTCTTCAACTGCGAGTATTATTGGTTTAATATTCGCATTGGGATCAACGATAATTTTTGTCGCACAGAACATTTTTTCAAAAAAATTACTTTTTAATAATGATCATCCAGGTTATGAAAAGCATAAACTTGATGAATTGAATTTATCATTTTATTCAAGTTCGTTGGCATTTTTTCTTATGACACCTTTATGGTTATATTATGAAGGATTTCATTTAATCTTAAGACCTCCAACGGATTATAATACTTTATCATTTACGATTAATTCTTCAAATTCCAATTCCAATTTAAATGGATGGATTGTTTCCTTCTATTTTTGGTTAAATGGATCAACACATTTCGCACAAAATATTTTGGCATTATCAATTTTATCATATACTTCACCAGTCACTTATTCAATAGCATCATTAGTAAAGAGAATATTCGTAATTACAGCAAGTATAATATGGTTTGGGCAGAAAACTACATTCATTCAAGGGATAGGAATAGTTTTAACATTTGGAGGGTTATACATGTATAATCAAGCAAAGAAAGATGTCGAGAAAAAGGAAAGAAAAGCTCGAGAAAGAGAAACAATTATTTTACCTTTGACAAGATCAGAAAGTGAAATTGATTTAAAAAAGCATATAATGTAGATTATTAATTTCTAAATTAATTTTTTTTTTTTAATTAATTTTGAGTTTTTATATTATTAATTTATTTTTATTATATTATCATTAGTTTGTTTATTATTATTATTATTATTATTAGTATATTTAAGTTTTATTATAAGTTATTATTATTATTAGCTTTATTATTATTTATTAGTTTTATTATCAATTTTTATTATTAGTTTTGATAGAAGTAATATTATAAGTAATAGAAGTAATATTATTAAGTAATAGAAATAATAATAGAAGTAATAATGAAAGTAATAGAAGTAATATTATGGGTAATAGAAGGATTATTTTAAAGGAATAGAGAGAAGTGATAAAATGAATAGATTATTTAATATAAAAAATTTTTTTTAATACATAATACTAATATCCCAAATAATTTTTTAATTTAATTTTTTAATTTTTTTTATTAGAAGGACTATATTGACTATTATTTGCTATTATTATTTCTATTATTTTCTATTATTAATTGTTGTTTTCATTCTAAAATGTACTTTTTTAATTTGAAAAAAAAACTTAATATAGACAAAAAAAACGCTGGTTCGGATGTTTCATTTAAATTTCTTAAGCGATAAAATTATATTATTAGATGTTGTCATCCAATAAAATTATTATTTTTTATCTGCCAATCACATATTTTTTCACATATATATTCATTTTTCACATACATATTTACTGATAAACTTCGATATACTAAATTATACTATATAAATGTCAATTTTGATACTTTGGAAAAAAAATAACACTCACACTCATTATAACCTGATTAATAAATAGAGACTTTCCAATGTCCAATGAGAAGGATAATCTATCATCAAAACTTAATTCTTCTTCTTCTACCAAACAACCTTTAAACGTATTTGCTCAACCCCATTTCAGATCAAAAATACGTTTACCTTTCAAAGATTTTCAAAAGAATGTTAATAATGATTTACCAAAACCAAATTATCAGCAAAATAATAATCAAGACTTAACCACGGCATCACCACCAATATTTACTAAATTCATTTCTGAAAAATCTCATGTTTCTAAACCAGAGGATATTAATATCTCCAATAATGTAGGAACTGACACAATCACGTTGGGATAATAAAATATTATTTGATTTAATTTTAATTATTATTATCAATGTATTTAACTCATAATAATTATCAATTAATAAACCTCAGAGTCATGAATCAAAAGAATCAAAAGAATCAGAATGTTTAAAACCAATTTCAAGTTCTTCTATACCTTCCTCATATTCTGTTAAAGATTTAACATTCATTCATGAAACAGGAACAGAAAGCTCTAACAATAATAATATCAATAATATAAAAGACTTACAAAAATTATCAATTTGGAATTCTCATCAGCATGAAGTTTTAATATCATCAGAAAGTGACAATAATAATAATTATAATGACAATAACAACAATAATAACAATAATGACAATAATAACAATAATAACAATAATAACAATAATGATAATAATAACAATAATGATAATAATAACAATAATGACAATAATAATAATGATGATGATGATAATGACAACAATGATATTAATGACAACAATGATATTAATAACAACAATGATATTAATTACAACAATGATATTAATGACAACAATGATATTAATGACAACAATGATATTAATTACAACAATGATATTAATAATAATATACCAGATATATTAAATTTTAATGATATATCTTTTCAACTACAACAAATAATTTCTCCCTCAATAATAAAAAACACTAATGAAGATTTAAATTCACAACCATTTGCTCATCCGTATATCGATCAGAAAAATAAATCCAATGATGATAAAGAAGAAAAGAATGAAGAAAAGATAGAAAAAGATGAACTCGGTATGATTATAGAGATCGTACATAGATGGAAAGATGATTCGGCAAGAAGAGATTCCATCATTAAAGAACTGGTAGGATATTGAATATCGAATATTTATGTTTATATTATTATTATTGTTATTATTATTATTGTTATTAGTATTATTATTATTATTATTATTATGATTTTTTATAGCGCGATAATCTTGACATTTTACAAGAGACTATAAACCATCGAGATATCTATTTGACTACCTATCGAGAACGTATTTTAACCTTGGAATTATTGATCAAACGTCAACAAAGTAATTCCGATCATAACCGTGAAAGAGTTGAAAATATTAAATCAAAGTATTTTTCATATCGTAACACACTTTCGAATATAGAAAAATCTGTTGAAGAGATTCGAGAAGAAAAAAAGAGAATTGAAAATGATGTTGAATCATTAAGATGTGGTGACTAATAATAGCTAGCGTTCTTCTTTTTTTTTTCTTCTTCTTCTTCTTTATTAATTTTATTAATAGATTAATTTTTATTATTTTATAAATTTACGAGAATAGATTTTGGTAAAATTGCTACAAAATATCAATCAGTATCAGAATATCACATCTCCAATTCGTTATCACGTAAAAATTCTTTATTCATATTTATTATATTTTATTCAATATTATAATAAAAATGTTTATTTTATTGTGTTTATCATTTTAATAAAATCTAGAAAGAACTCAAATCACGCAGGTTACAGACTTAAACCATCAACTTACAGATGCAAATACTCAACTTAATAATGTTATTACTCAATTAAGTCAAGTTATACAGAATTCTAATGATAAAGCGGCAAGTTACGCATCAGAACTTGATTCCACTCGTAAAAGATTAGAATCTGTTATGAGTGAACGTGATATTGAAAAAGCTGAGAATGGTGAAGAATGTCAGAAACTCAAACTTTCATTTGAGAGTGTTAACGAAAAATACCAAACTCTAAATTTACTTCAAAAAGAAAATGAAGAAAAGTAGGCAAAGAAAATTTAGATTATTAATTATATTCTAAATTTTAGATTATTAATTATTAGATTATTAATTATATTCTAAATATAAATATTAGAATTATTGCTCTTACAAAATGTGTTCAAAAACTCGAACAAGATTTAGAATCATCTCGTAATGATATTAAACAACTTAATTCTTTAATCACCGAGAAAGATAAACGGTATTTTAAAAAATCTTATCCACATTTACCATTATTACGGTTATTCATATTATTCATATTATAATTATAGGATATCACAATTAATTGTAACTGAAAAAGAAAAAGAACTTCTTCAGTTAGAATATAATCAAGAAAAAATCAATTTCAAGAGAGAAATTGATTCAATTCAAAAAGAAATGGATACAATTCGTACACAACAAATGATTGAATGTCAAAAGTTTGAGAATGAACTCCATGATTTACGTCATCAATTACAAACGGAATTTTATAAAGAACGTTGCCAATTAGAAACAGAATGGGCAAATGAACGTAGTCGATTGGAATCGGAAAATCGTGAAGAACGTACTCGACGTCTACGTTTAGAATCAGAATTTCGTGATGAACGTTCAGAACGATTTCGTTTTGAGACTGAATTACATAATTCCGATAGAAAATTAAAAGAATTACTTCAAACCAATGATCACGAAAAGTTAAGGTTATTATTTATTTATTTATTATTCATTTATAATGTTATCGTTACCATTTGGTTATCATTCGGTTATCATTTCTTTTGTATAGAATCGTTCAATTGGAATCTGAATTGGGTGAACTAGAGAATCAACGCTTGAATCGTATATCAGGTAAACTGAATTCATCAATTTTAAATTTGGACATTTAGTTTTACATATTTTATATTTTGCATATTTATTATTTTTTATTATAAAGTGTCGGTTGGGACATCTGATACACCTGATTTAGATCTTCACTTAGAGCATACCAAGATGTTAATGAATTTTAAGCATGAAAATGAAATTAAAATGAAAAAATTTGAAGAATTAACGTTAAATTTAGAATCATGGAAGGTTAGTTTGTTAATTCAAAATATATATATATATACATATATTTATATATAATTATTTTATATATCTCTCTATATTTATATATGTTTATTTATATTTATTTGATACATAGTCTAAAGCAAGCTCACTTGAATCAAGATTAAATTCACTTGCAACGAAATTTGATGAATTTAAAAGTGATCACAACAAAGTAATTAACGATATAAATCAACAGGTAATTGTTTTGTAAAAAATTAAGTTAAAAAATTTAAAGAAATTTATTAAATTGAAATTATTCATTTAATAAGCACGATGATAATGTCGACAAGCTCAATCGTGATGTTTATAATTATCAAGAAATTGTTAAACAAACTACATTAGAACATGAAAATGAAATCTGTCAGCGTGATTGTGAGATTAGAGAAATTAAATCAAAAGAAATACTAATGATGGAAGAAATTGTACGTATTTTAAATAAAAATAATAACTACAAAATACCAATTTATCAATTTAATAATCCAAATTATTATTTAATTAGGAAATGTTAAAATCTAAAATTCATCTTTTGGAATCTAATGAACAATTTTCGCAAAAGAATTTGGTTTGTTTTATAAATAAATTTTCAAATTACGATATTTCAAGATGTGAAAAAAATCATCATTAATATAGAAATTATTTTTATTTCCGCAAAAAGCAATTGAGAAATGATTGCAAAATGAGCAATATTTCTATTCCTGGACCCGGATATATAGTAAGTTCTTTTTCATTTGTAAGAATAATTTTAATAGAATAAAAATATTCTTTTATAACTTTTTATTATTTAGGTTAATTCTGAACGAACAGAAACAGAACCGATCATAAATGAAGTTGTTGTTTTGGAGGTTTGTCAAATGATTTATAAAATTCTTTATTAATTATAAATGATATCTAGAAATATTAATCCTTAAACATTAAAAAATTTTTAATTATTGTATATAGTCGGAAAAAGTTTTCGAATCTAATGCTATAAATAAAGATATAAATAGGGATATAAAGAAAGATATAAATAAAGAGGAATACAATTCTCCTAACTTAAAATTTACAAAAAATTCTGCAAAATATTCTACAAAATATTCTGATGTAGGATTAGAATCCAAAGTTGGCTCTCAATCCCGATTATTAACTTTGACAGAAATCGATTCTATGCTTTTGGTAAGTAGTAATAATTTTATTAATTATAAATATTATATTATCTGTTATTTCATTATTCATTTACTAGGATCAAGCTCCAAGCAACGATACAATTAACGACGACACAATTAACGATACAATTAAACAGAAACAAAATCCAAAAGTTCGTTATAACAAAAAAAAATATTCATTAGGAATATTCATTATTTATTTGATTATTATATGATCCATATTACTTAATTGAATAATTTATTTTGATTTAATTTAATTTAATTTATTTAGGGTGATAAAAATATGAGAAATGATTCTGCTAAATTGGATTCATCTAATATTGATACTCTCTCTCGCAACACGGAATCTTTAAACGATTGGCAATCGTCGCCAAGTAATCAAACTCGAACAAAAAGACGCAAGGTATTCTTATATTTTTTTTTAAAAAAAAATGCGATACTGTAATATATTTATATTTCATAATTTTCTTGATATTATAAAAAATAGATGGCTCGAACAGAAGGTATATATCAATGTCCAACCAATTTTTTTTTTTTTTTAACCGATTTTTTATTATTATTTTATAATAAAAATATAATATCAAACTTGTAATTTCTTAGTTAATGACGAATCAGCTAAAATTAATACGCGCAATCGAGCAAAGACCAAATCAAAACCTTCGTGTCGTGCTGTTGGATTATAAAATAATTTAAAAATTAATTAATTCGCTATTTGACGTATATAGATTCTATGCGAATAAATGAACGACATGGGCTAATTATTATGTAATTAATGAATAATAGAGTAATAATTTAAACAATTAATTAATCAATAAACTCAATAAACTACTGGTGAAATTTTCATCATAACTTCTATTCTTCGCAATACATTTTTTCATCATTGACAATTATTCTTCACATAATCCTTGAAGGATATGGGTCCCTATTAATTATTCAGTTTATGTTGTCATGTATATAGATCCCCATTATTAAATTCATCTGTTTCGTCATCACTCATAATTAAATTCATCTGTTTTTGTCATCACTCTCATTCATTAAATTTATCTGTTTCGCGACTGGGCCATCAAAGCGCATAGCTTTAAGACAATACTTAACCCCATTGTTTATTATACATGAAATAAATTTTTTTGAATGTATTAATATTCTCTATATCATTAAAATTGCAAAAGTAATAATAACAAGATTGATGTCGCGTTTCATCATTTATTATACTCCGCCTATATTATTTTTTTTTCCTTTATGATTTTTGTATTGCCTACACGAGGCTTGTTTTGACTTATTTCTGAAAGAACTCGCAAATTATGAGCGTTACTGTAGCGCGCACTTCTTCTGTTCCTCACCATTCGGAACTCTTGATCAGTATCTTTAACCATCAACTACATAATAAACAACAATAGATGAAATCAATAAATGCAAATTCAGAATATCAAATAATTATATTACTTACTGCCCAAGTCACAACTGCCTTAAAAAAGATGGAAATAAATCAACGCCTTCTAAGTCAGTTGGAATTTCGCACGTTTCGATTTCAAAAAGCCGATATTTTCCTGAAAAGAATTTTGTTAGAAAAACGATCAAACGATCTCTTCTTATTATAGTGATGTTAGCATATACATACATAAATAATCCATAAAATAAAATCTAAGACAGTCCAATAATTTGTACCATATAGGCCTTAAATTGTAAAGGCGAAGCTCGCTTCAATTCGACACAACAGTGTAATTTATTATGTCTTTTTCTACCCTTGCGTTTTGAACAAAATCTGACATTTCTTTCTTGTCATCAATAACATATGGTCTAGATCCCTTTATGACACATATTTCGTATTGCTTTTCCGTAGTAATGTACGCAATACCATCCGAATGATCTGCACATCCCTCTTGTTTTGTTGAGCTTTCTGTACGCAGATGCTTGAACAGCTTTGTTACCTCTAAAATAATAACAAAACTTAAATTAACACAGTAAAATGATATAACGAATATTCGAAAACTTCACAGAGCCTTCTTTAGAACGGGATGGATGAACGTATTCATGTATTCTTCTTCCAGCATATTATAATTCTTGAGAGAATTATGATGTAGCAGAGAATATGCATCAAAGCTAAAAGACAAATAAATGTCAATAAATCTTGTTTGAACTGAGAATAATAAAGAGGTACTTACAAGTTTGGCAAAGTTTCAACTTTTTTCAAAAATGGATCCTCCTCCAGTTCCGATAAGCTTTCTAGCTTGTTATCCCATTGTTGGTGAGTACAACTCTGCCAAAGATAGATAATTGACATGTAAAAAGACAAATTACCACAGGATAATATAAAACAATATCTCTGGAAAAAAACTCATTAAGAAATTTAATTGCACTTTCCGGAAACAACTTATCAACAGACTCAAAGGTCTTTTTTAGAACCTACATGTGTTCATCCTCATCTGTATATCTTAGAATGAACTCTGAAGACAGAGTAAGATCCATGACTTCATTCTGTGTTAATTCATTAACGGATTCGATACAATATTTTTGAAAACATTTCATTAAATTTTTCATTTTTTATGAATCACATAACTCATTTAAAAGATTTTAAACTAAACTTTGATTATTATCATTCTGTAAAATTCATTTTGATTATTAAGATAATTTTATATTTATTTATATAAAGTAAACAAAGGATTGTATAAAACTATATACATACAAATCATTTGTTTTTTCTTCTTCACCTGTTTCATCAATTTTATAAAATTTTGATTTTTCTTGCTTAATATTTTGATGTTTTTAAATGGAAGACATAAATTATTATTTATCTTCAAAGCATTATATATTAAAATATTAAATATCTTATTCCAATTTTTATCATTTTCATTTAGAATTTCCATTTGTTTCGATAATTTATTCTCTTGATGTGAATTAGTAATGCTCATCACTTTTAAGGTATATAAATTTATTTCGATATTTGTATTATACTGTTTAATAATGTACAATAATATTATATAAATTCATAATTGAAAAATATCTACTGCTCATTATGTACCTGTTTATGTTTTAATATTCTTCAATTTTCATATTGTTCTCAGAATTTGGGATTTTAGAGTCCTTAAATAAAAAATAAGTTATGCTTTGTTTATAATTCTATAAAGATAGTTGATACTTATTATACATTATACTGAGAACACTACCTAACTCCAAGAGTTAACAGGGATGTTATTTGCTCCTAGTGATATAACTGTATAATCAGCACTCTGCATTGTACTGAGGAATGTTATCTAACTTCAGGAGTTAACAAGAATGCTACCTGCTCCTAGTGATACAACTAGGTATTACTAGAAACTAGTTTTTTTTAAGGTAATTATTGATCATCTTAATAAGAACAGATGTAGTCTCATGTTTCTTGTCAATTTTATCATTTTCGAACTCTCTTAGATGGTTGTTAAAACATTTTCACCATGTTGATTTTAAAATATTTATTTTAATGCAGTTACTGAAGTAAAGTTCAATGGCTTTGAGATATCTGGAATATGACCAATCACTTGTTAAATTTAATACGAAATACTTCTCTTCTACAATTTGTAATAGCTTGTATTGTGACAATGACATTTTTAACATGAAAATAAAGTAAATGACAAATTTTTTATAAGGTATTTTTTAGCATGAAAGTAAAGTAAACAGTAGTTTTTTATAAACTATACAGTACAAAATAATGTTTTATACCATATAGTAAAGTTGTCTGATGAAATTTATTTTGCAATTTGGCAAAAGGTAAAACCTATATTTTTTCAAAATTTTTACTATAATTTAATATAGTTTCACCAGTTATATGTATTTGTTATAGTTTCAACTTTCAACAAGTTATA